AGGGGATGTATAGATGGCAAAAACTGGTATGCTATCATACCTAACTTTTATAACGCTCGCGTATTTCAACATACCTGGCACACATGCATAATTCAACAAGTTTGGTACAGCCGGAGAGAATTGTTATACCGAGAATTCTGGTCGTTCTTCAGAGACGAACTGCATGTCAAAGCTGCATTCAATCTAGTTCGTAAGGCGTCCGTTGATTTTTCGTCCCCGACTTGTCATGCTTCCGGAAGGCGTTTTCACGTTGTGAAGCCCATTATTTCAAGCAGGACTTCAAATGGAGGAAATAGTTGCGAATTTATCAAAAGAACTTTTTATAAAGAAACGCACACTTTCTACGCTTACAAAACTTCGATACAGTTGAAAAATTGAACTCGACAACGTCGTCTACATTCCCGTCTAAAAGAATAGATTTTTTTAAATTTTAACTATGAAGTCGACATCCAAATGACTCTAGACGAGGAAGATAATAATTTTAGCGGTCGATCAAAATCTTATACGTCTTTCGAAAACCATACCCCCTGTTTGGGGGCCAGCGAGCCCGCCTGCAAAGGCTAGCTGGCCATAACCCGGAGAGAAAAATAAAGGTTTCAGAGGTTTTCGAAAGGACAATAAGACATAAAAGATAGGAAAAGTAGATAAAAACCTTCGGAAGAGGGGAGCGAAGAATTTCGCGTTTTTGGAGACAAACCATACATCAGTTAGAATTCATTGCGGAGAAAAGGAACGTCGAAATCTCAAAGAATTTCCTGGAAAAATGGTAGTCAGAATAACCCCTGTGATTTCAGAAAATTTTTGAACTTCTCTATTGAAAACGAAAGTAGATCTCGCGGTGATAGCTTCCATTGGGAGCGCATTCCATATTTTGATAACACGCACTAAGAAAGAGTTATAGAATTGCTAGTTACTCACTTTCCCTACTACAAGCCTGAACATGTGTCCTCTAGTATAGTTGTTGAAATTCGATAGACTAAAAAACCTTGCGTTTCTAATTCAATCCTGTTGGTCATTATTTTAAAGACAAGGTTTTGGTCATAAAGGGTTCTTCTGAACGCAAGATAGTAGTGGCTAGAATAGAGAGCCTAGATTTGTACGACAATCGGAATACCAGCTCGGGCAAAAATTCTGGCAGTGAACGATCTCTGGACTCTTTCTATAATTTCCGTAAGAGTTTTCTCAGAAGGAGACCATGGTGGAGTGCAGTATTCCAAAAGAGGACGAACATAGATGACAAAAAGGCGAAAGAGAATTTTTAGATTAGTAGTTTTGAACCCACGAAGGATGTAATTGCACCTGGCGTGAGCGGCAACGGCAATATCTCGTATGTATTTCTCAAACTTTAGTTTGTCAGAGTAGGTTACACTAAGGTCCCTGGCGCTGCTTACTGTTCGAAGTCATGTGCCCCAATACGAAAGTAATACGGGGGATGTGCACGTCCAGTGGCCATGATAAAGGTTTTTTCCACGGAAATGTCAAGCTCCCATTTGTCACCACTTCTCTACCGCATCCAAAGCGCGCTGCATCAGATTAGGGTCGTCGTAGAAGTAGAGTTTGGTGTCATCAGCATATATAGAGCAATGTACATCATGGGGAAGGCATAACGGCAGATTGTTGATGTAAAGCAAAAACATCAAAGGCCCTAAGCAAGTACCCTGCGGCACACCACTTGCTGTTAGATAGATTGAGGAAAACGATTCATTGACCCGCACTCTTTGGGTGCGCTCAAGCAAAAATGCTTTTGAGGAATCGCAATAAACAACCTTTGATGCCGTAAGCATCTAGTTTTGTAAAGAGAAGAGCTAGGGGCACGGAGTCAAAGGCTTTCTTATAATCTATATAACAGACTGTTGACAACTCTTTTTTCATTAACTGCTCTCTGCCACAAGGGTACCGTTGACATTAAAGCTGATAATGTAGATTTTTTGGGCAGAAATCCATGTTGTGCTTTGTGCACAAGATGGTTGCTAGTAAGAAATGCGCAAATCTGTTTACAAATCATTCTTTCAAAGACTTTGCTCACTGATGATGTTAAACAGATCGGCCTATATTTCCGGCCTCAGCCTTGCAGCCCTTTTTGAAAATTGGCTTAAAATTGCAGTGCGCCATAAGGCAGGGGCTTCTCCAGGAAGAAGAAATCTTTGAAATAGCAAAGCTAGTACTGGAGCTATACCTAACGATGTTTTCCTAAGAAAAATATATGGGAGTTTATCAGGGGATGTGGATCTTCTAAGGGGGAGTCGCCTCAAAACTTGATATACTGCATCAGTGGTGATATCCAAATAATCAATCTTCGCATTTGTAAAACGTGGACAATCAGCATTCGAGGTTGTCGGGTCCTTATAAACGGATTTGAAAAATTCGGCAAATGTCTCTGCTTTTTCCATATCAGATGCGCAGGGCTGCCAGGCTGAGTCGTATGTCGTGCCAATGCTATTTGACACCCTCAAGTTTTGATTGCAGAAGCGAAAGAACGCTCGTACATCTCGGCTGTCGGCAATTTTGCCTTCTTCTATGAGTCTGCAGCGGTATAATTAACGTCTGAGTTTTTTTGAGAACCTTTGATATTCTTGGATACCAATTCTGCTTCTTGCACGGTGAAGCCTAGAGATTGGCCTCAAGCTTGAGTATCCTTTTGGGATAGAAAAGCATGCGGCCACGGCAGATTTTACGCAGAGGGACAAAGTTGTTAATAGCATCACGGCACACTTCAAGAAAGTGTTCATAACAACGATCTGCCGACAATGCACTGAATACGATACTTCGCCAATCCACTTCTAATAAGCTCATGTTTATAGCGTCATAATCAGCATGCAAGAAATTAGGCTGATATATCTCAGGCAAGACTATTCTACGATGCTTGCGCAGCTTAAATGTAATAGAGCAGTGGTCCGATGTAGAGAAGGGTTCACATACAATAAGGGTATTTAACCAAGTTACTGTTATTGGAAAACACAAGATCAAGCAGCTGAGAGCCTCTAGTGGGAACCCTCACTAGTTGATGTAGACTGTATACTTTCACAACTCGAAGTAGCTCTGCGGAAGTGGAGGGGATCCAATAATGCGCCATTCTGCCATCCTCATGCCATAAACCAACCGGCAAATTAAAATCTCCCAGAATGATGCAGTTTTGATTTCTAAGAATTTCGGCAAAATAAGCTACTGCATTTGCAAAGGAAGCACTGTCACAAGAGGGACTTCGACAAACCAACACCAAATAAGTGCAGCTGGTTGCATCACTAACACAAAAACATAAAACTTGGCAATATGGAGAGAAGTTCTGACTGGAGACTAAGTGATGCTCTAGCCCTCTGTGTATGAGGGCAAGAACACCGCCTCCTATACTGCTGCCCTCTCTGTCACATCTGCATATATCATAATCAAAACCTCGGTATATGCTAGCATCATGTATAGAATCTGGCTTGCACCTTCATTCCGTTATGAAGAGGATAGATGGGTCAAAAGAAATTGCTCTATGTAATTCAGGCAGTTTATTGCAGATTGAGCGTGCGTTAAATAAAATCATGCAAACAGCAAAATTTGGATATTGAGCATGAATTATATCATTTCGATCAGTCACGTCATACCGAAGGGCGGTTTCTGTCTGTTGAGTTCTGTCCTAGTGTGCGCTGAGCACACCCGGGGCATACTGAGAGGAAATTACCGTCGACATGGCAAGTGGGGGCGAGGCATCACAGCATTGCTCCAACCCTACCGCAGAACTTCCGCCATTAAATCCGTTGCGACGCATGATGGAGGGCGCCAAGGAACGCCTGGGCAAGTCGCGTGGTGCCCGGAGTTTGACGATATCAAAATCGCGGACAACATAAATCAACTTGCCCTCTCTAGCATTGAGATCCCCTGCACGTTTGCGCAGCTCACGATCCAACTGCAATTCCTCATTCGTGTAGTCGCGCCTGGCATATGAGTGCACGAACCTTTGCGTGAGACTCTGCCGCCCAGTTTTCTTGTATTCTAAAAGCTTATCCTTCAACTCTTTCGAGCGGAGGCCCACCTTTAAAATACGACCACGAGCTTGAGAGCCTCTCGGCTGCCCAGGAGGATGACGATGGACACATTGCCCTCCCTTTCGCCCGATGTATATACGTACTCCCTTACGTTCTCCTGATCAAAACGACGAGTGGCTGACTTGTCGTCTTGCTCATCGATCCCTACAAGAGCAATCCTTTTGGATTTCTCCTCTAACTTGCCATCGTCCGCACGACTTTGACAAGGGTAGAGTAGAGCAGACTCTGCTCGTTGAGCTTGCCAAGTGCAGTTCCGAAAGTCTGCTCTCTCGGCTCTTCAAACGAGCCAAAACTGCTCTTTGTAAATTTTTAATTTCTTTAATTTCACCCGAAAGCTGAGTAAGTAACTCACTTACGGTCCTCTCGGATGTCGTGGAGAATGCGTCGAATCGGTCGATCAACTTGGTTGCCCACAGCGGCATGTCGCCCTCCTCAGCTCCATCCCTACGTGCAGCTTGTCGGACCATTTTGGAATAATAGTTGGGTATAGAAATGGGGGGGGGGGGGGGGAGACGGAGGACGCAGAGACGTTGAGTAGCACACGGCTACCGAGTGTCGGGACGATGGGGAGGGGGGTATATGTCGAGTGGTCGATATCAGAGAGCGGTCCTAGATACGACCGCACTGGCGGGCACACGGATCAAACAGTAGAGACAGTATCTTAAAATCTTAAGACAAGGCCTTTTTCAGAGCTGTCGATGTTTTCGTCAAATCCTAGGTGAGCGTTGTGCTTTTTTATTGCTTAGAGAATTGGTCAAATATAAGGCTTTTTGTGTCGAAGATATGATTCTTCATAGTTGTGGCGCTTCGGATTCGTAAAAGCCATTGAAACTAAGCTTAGCTCCAATAAATAATGACTACTAATGATTTTGGAAGGAGCCTTGCTTATAATCAGCACAGTATGTATCACTTGAACGTGCTAATAATCGACTCTTACCGTGAACCTGCTGCCAAAACCATACGATTTAGCTTTCGTCCACGACAGATTTCGTTCGCCGAGGTCTCCAAGGTTGTATAGAGGTCGGTCACTTTGAAAAACCGAAAGACAAAAAATTTAGCACTTTTGGTATCTATTTAGAAAATAAACGAACGAAACGCATGCTAAATGGGATGCAATTTAGTCATTTGGAAATGCTGTATGTAGTCATGCTACGGATGATTTTTGAATGTAAGTCCAGTTTCCTTGAAGTAAAAATTTCTACGTAAAAACATGGTCATTTATCAACCATATGGATAAAACCCAACAACTTTTGGAAGAACAATCTACTGAATGTGGATGTGAACTAGAATTGTGAAGATGCGCAAAAAAATTGTAGCATTGTACTGCATTATTCCTTTCTACATCTCTTCTTAAATGCAAAAGCAGTATCCCGTCATTCTGTGGCCTGCGGTTCCCCTGAGGTGGAATCGTATACCCCCTCGTCTCACACTGCTGTCAGTATGATTGATGTAGCCTATCTTGTAGTCACAAGCCAGCAGTATGCATGAGGGGAAAGGGCTTGAACAAAAGAAATTTGCGAAAAGAAAAAAATAAGATTTAAAATTGCAGTTTGTCGAAGTGGGGTTCCCACATGTGATGCATAGCATTGTGCTGGGCTTGGGGCACTAATGACGAATCCATTTTCTTAGCTGCTCAATGATCTTCTGGGGAAAGTTACGAGCATGGTTTTTCCAGGATGACCAAGGATCGCCTATGTTGCGACGCCGAGAAATGTCAGCTGTGGAGAGGTGGCCATGTGGATAACTGCCGAGGCTATGGATGAAGTGGCTAAAAGTTCGGAATACTTATTGCTCGAACATTCTTCCATTTTGTAGACTGCATCGTTTGATATGTATCCTTGGTAGGCCCTAAGGCAGAGAAACACCCGGCACCCGTTGAATAATTTGCAAAATGCTAGAATGTTTGGGACATATGTATTCCGAACGTTTACCACTTCCTCTATAGTCCGTCCACTCGGCCCCTCCACAACTAAACTTTCTCAACTTTGCTGACTTAAGCGATCCGTGGTCATCCTGGATAAACCATCACTCGTAACTTTTCGCAGAGGATCACTGAGCAGCTAAGCAACACAATCTTGGTATTAGTGCCTTAAATATGCGTCACGTGTGGGAACCTCGCTTCCACCGAGGATCCTTTCCTTGTCAGAAGGCCTCAAAGGCCCAAATCAAATTTTTCGATCTACCGTGTATTGAACCCCTAAGCGTTTTTGCACAAACTGTCAGCAATATGCCCTACCCTTAAACTTGTAAAAATGGAAGCCCTGAAATGCTTTATTTGAAAGAAACTTGTGGGCCACAGACTGACCACAACCATAACTCATGTATAGCCGATTTTTCAATCTAGATAACATCAAAAATCAAAGTGTATTAGGTTGCTGCATAAGTTCTGTCCGATTTTTTTTGCCTCATGTTTGAAGCAGCTGTCCTAAGAGAATTTCATCTCTAATGCGGTATTGTTAGTATTATTAGAAAGCGCTTTTCTTGCGCTTTCTAAGGCTTATCAAATTTCAACAAATTTTTTAGCGTAAGGAGATTTCAGGCCTAAAATCTCCAAGTGGTCGAGGTACGTTATCACCCTAGAAAAATGTTCTTGCGAAGAGATCTCCCTAATGCGCCCTTTAAGTCAAGTTTTTCAATTGGTTGCGGAATAAGGGTGTAACAAGCTAGCATACGCATAAGTTCAGTTTCATGAAAAAAACGTCTTGCTTGTAAAATTTATTGTCAAACATTAATTTTCTGTATAGATGTTTTACAAGCAATAACTTTCTGCGAATAGAAGTAATCGATAAGATCAAAGTTGGAGGTGCTAGGGCAAAGCAAGAGCTAACAGGGCCCATCCACCAGTTCCTTTTCGGCGCTCACGGCAGTTGTAAAACGTTCATAATTCATAAATAGGCATGCACACATGTGCTGAAGCGAGGTCAAAAAGTGGCTGATTTTTTGTTCGGTCAACAAAATCTCTCGGCAATGCAGACCCTATGGGCTCTTTTATGTTGCATAATAATCTAAGAAAATTTCTCTATCTATCCATTGTTAGATAAGATGTTTATCAATTCTCATAAGGGAGCGTTGCCATGTCAAAAAAGACAGATTTGAAGAAAAACGCTGTTAAGTTTTTGCATTCCTGCTTCTTCCTTAACAAGGATTTGCGTAACGTAGGCAAATTTCATTCCATACAAAAGCTAGATTTTTCAAAGAGCGCCATTCATTTGGCTTGAATCTTTGGCCAAAAAGTTAATGCAATGGCTTTCTGATTTTAATGGCGATTTATGAAGCTTGGTAAATTAGGCTAAGCCCGCTTTAGCCATCATTAGATAGGGCATGAGAAGAGCTTCTTACGATTAGTGGTATGCTGAATTCATTTTGAAGAAGAAAGTTTCATGGAAAAAAGTGGCTATGAAGAAAATCTCCTAACGCTCATTAATAAATCAACCGAATATTTTCTTCCCATTTATGTTGCAAAGTATTGTTTTGTTTTTATCAACTAAACTTCCTTTCTGAACAGCTTCTTCACAACTGTCTTGGTCATACAAGACTTTCTAGAATAGCCAATCGAACTGCGTAGTATGTTCAAACGGAGCTATTGCTCCTAGCTCTAACAACATTCTTTGCTTATTTATCCACTGTGTGGTCGCACTCCAGTTACATTGTGTTCGTTTGAAACAGTACCGCGCACTTCTCACGGTGAAAACGAACAGAATAGCAGAACTTTCGAAAGGACGATTCTTTGCGAAGGCCAAAATGACAATTTTTTGTTTTTTAGATTGCTGACTTTGAAAATCGTCGGTAAAGCGCCAGAAATCGCAAGCAAAATGCAGATAAGGCTACGTGTGCAGAGCGGAAGAGTGTATAATTGGAGCTTTAATCAACATCTCAGCTACGTAACAGAGTGCTGTGAGAATGATACAGCTAAAGGAGAACTCAAACTCTGACTTCACCAGATGTAGTCAGAGGCGTAGAACTCCTCTGACTTTTCTTAAGCGCACGAAGGCGCCTGAAGCTGCTATTTCGCAACTGCAAAGTTCTCCTCTCAAAATTCTATTTTAAAAATGCCTCTGATAAACTAAACCTACTACTTGAACTGTAAATTACTTGTCAACATGAGGCAGTAGTCGCCAGTAAATGCTGGTCCAATAAATTATGAGCAAAAGAAACAAAGCATAATGCACCCATCACGAACGAAAAAAAGACAGTGTAGGTAAATTCCAGTGGCGGTCCGAGAGGGGGGCGGGGGGGGGGGCGCCCCCCCCCCCGCCCCCGAGAATGGGTCGCGAAATTTTTGAAAGTTATCTATATGGGTTATAAAAATGTGCAAGTGACTTGTTTTTACTTGTAAATAATTAAAACAATTTTTGAATTTTTTTTAAAAACTCAAATTAGCCTTGTAAAATTTTTTTTTCGGGGGCGTGGCTGACGCCACTCCCACTTTTTCTTGATTTTGGGGTATGGGGCCGCAAAATATTTGAGAAGCACCACAGAAATTTTTTCGGAGGGTAAATTCATAAGTTGCATATATGAAACTGCAGTGGCGGTCCGAGGGTAGAACAAGGGAGCCCCCCCCCTCTTCCGAGAAGGGGTCGCGAAGGGGAAAATCTACTTACATCTTATATATAAAGCTGAATGTCTGTTTGTCTGTCTTATGTCTGTATGTCTGTCTGTCTGTATGTGTGTACGTATGTTCCGAATAGAAAATTCCATTTCTGAACCGATCGGGACCAAACTTGGCACACATACACTTCGGGCCCCGGCGAGTGTCATAGGCTACTTTTCGTCATCGACCGATGTCGATTTTGTCGATTTTTTGCAAAATTTGAGCTACAGGGCTGGAATTTGGCACAGGGGGGGGGGGTAATCGAGCATGCTGATCACCCCCGTGGGGTGAATCTTTCTTAGCATGCTGCATGCTCGATTACCCCCCTGTGCCAACTCCCAGCCCTGTAGCTCAAATTTTGCAAAAAATCAACAAAATCGACATCGATCGATAACGAAAAGTGGACTGTGACACCCGCCGGGGCCCGAAGTGTATGTGTGCCAAGTTTGGTCCGGATCGGTAAAGAAATGGAGATTTCTATTCGGAACATACGACGGAGCCGGGTAAGCCAGCTAGTGGGTTATAAGAATGTGCAAGTGACCAGTGAACTAGAGCGGAGACACAAAACCGCGATCAACAAAGACCTTCATGTCTGGCATGAGAAATAATTATATAAGTTCTTACTCTGTGGGCAAATAGAAATAAACTGAATAGAATACCCTGCAAAAAACCTACTTTTTCATTTTTTGACTGCATCAACTTCATCAGTTCATAGACCCTTTCTATCCATAGCAATCGGAATTGTGCGGTTTTGTGCATTTGTAGTCCGTGGTATTACGCTATCTCACGTGTCCCATAAGTAATTCACGAGCAGCTTACGGGATTTTCGTCTGATTTTCCCACTGGCGCTTTATTCTCATCACTTTAACTTACTACTTACTTTCAACTAATTAGCAGTACGCTGTACTAAAATGCGGTGCTTGAGCGAACTTTTTTCCAACTAATAAATTTGCCATTTCAAAGCATGGAAGGGTAGGCGGTCGTAAGTTTAAGTTGCGAAGTTCTTCTGAGGGAGGGGGGGGGGGGGAAGGTGCGCCTAATCAGCCAAGCTGAATTGAGTTTAGTACTCCTGTATCTCATACTCTTAACATAGTGTTAGTTGAAATATACCAGCTTTTGACCACTGCCATAAAATTGCCATAAAAACTCACTACTTACCAGCTTTTGGCTTGAATTCCCTTCTGAGCGCACAGAAAGTGAGTTGAAAAGCTTACGTGTATGTAAGTTTTCTCCTCTATAAATAGAAGGGACGCCATCGGGAGAAGTCGCTTATACAAAAAACGCGTAAAGGTAGTTGTACCTTTTTAAGCTTGCAGACGTTCTTTATTAAGGGCAGCGGCTCAGCAGATTCTCGACTTAAAGTTTTTTTGCTTACCTGGGGTAATTCGAGGCGCTGATTCCGAAAATCCGCTCTGAGCACGAAAATGGCAATAACCACCATTTCCTAAGGCTTCCCATTCTAGATTTAGACGGGTGTAGCATGTCCCGCCATGGTTAGAGAGGCAGAATCATTGTGGAACCCTCGCAGTTATAACATTGCGGCATGCCTTCTCTGAAGGGTCAGGGAGAATCGCAAGCTCGTCCGCGCGAATTAGAATAGCTTGCGCGTAAAGGGTTTTTGAGGCAGTTTTCTAGGCAAAGGCAGCATGCTGTGCGCTCGGACCTGCTCTGCCTCTCATGTTTGGGGTGCAAGCAATCTTCCATGTCAAAATTTTGGGGTGTTCGGTTTTGGCGAGCTGCGCCTTCAAGTAGGATTCCACAATTGGAAACGATAATCAACTGCAGGTCAATAGCAGTCTCATGAAGCCTCAGAGGATCTTGTGAGTTAAACTCCGACAAAGTAAGAACAGAGAGTAGTAACAGTCCTAACAGCGCGCACCTGCTAAGTAAAAACGAACTAATGATGGCTCCAATATCTCTAGCTGCACCCTCAGAGCAGTAACATCTACCACTCAAATGCCTGCAACTGGTTACCTATATGCAGAGCTCAACAGTGCTTTGGCTGCGTTCAGACTGATTTCAAAATCCGGGAACAGTTTCAGCACAGCGCTCATTTCAAGCGCTGTGCTGGAACTGTTCCCGGTCTTCGGGATCAGTATGAACGCAGCCTTTAAGACTCGATTTTACTCGGTTCCTGCAGGGCAAGCGGTGCCAATCTTTTCTAATCCACCTCTCAACGGTATAGTAAAAAAAAATAGAATAAGTGATCCTGTCGCTTACCATTTGTAAATTGGATCTGTCAACGGGTACCAGATGATGTTGATTCTGAAAAAATTTTTGTAGGTAGTTTCTGAAATTCCTTGATGCTTGTGGTTAGGACCATAGTGCAATTTTGTTCAGCCAGGTCTTCACAAAAACTTGGTCACGGAATAAGTTTCCGTTTTTCGTTAAGTTTGAATCCTGCACATACGCTCTAAACATAATCGATAATTCTGTGATTATTTCGAGCTAATCACCAAAAGAAAAACATTCACTATATCAAAGAACTATATTAGCCGCAGTATAGAAAATACCTTCGTTTTTTGGAACCTGCGAGGCAGGATTGTTGTGCGAAAAATTGCCAAAAACAAGAAAATGATTTCAACTCGCAGCGGCGAACTAAAATGAAATGCATAACATTAGACGCTTCTTATAATCTGCGTTCTAAATCTGCTAAGCGATCCTCTAGAGAAGTCGTGAGTTCAAATTGTAAAGTCATCGGATTGCAATGCATGAAATGAAGCTCAAACGATCCGCATGTATACTGACTACAATGAACGCACACATGCAAAGCAAACATTAATAACTGTTTCTCAATCAGGAAAGTGTGGCTCCAATTTTGACCAATTTGAACTTTCACTCGTCCAGAATCTCCTTCAATAATCTGAGATAAGGATGTTAAACTTTAGCTTAGCTCAGCGAGACCGTCTAATGATATGCATTCCATACTAGATCGCCACTACGACATAAGATCCTTTCCTTGATCGCATATGCTGTTGGCTTATAAGTTTTATGTTTCCAAACGTTTGTTCTTGAAGATTTTTTAGGCTTTGTGGACATGGCAGAAACTTGGCAGAGCAAGATTTGTTTTTATAAAGCGTAGATAGTGTAGCTGACTGAGTTCTCTACCGACAGCGGTCAGTCCGTCTGTTCAACAAAGACATCACTGTGTGTTGCCAATACCAATACTGATAAAAAAAATTATACACAATTTTTTTGATCGCTGAAGTGATGAAACGGTTTTCAGATAATCCAGTACCAGCCCGTTGTGCGGGAGTGATAATCAGCCCAAAACATGTGCTAACAGCTGCACATTGCTTCTTCGAAAATAGTGGCAAGAATAAAGCATTGGAGGATTTCTTGTAAGCTTCATATCTAAAATTAAGTTGCCATGCATTGACTGTAGACGACGGTAGCAATATACAATTTGACCACAATGACTGTCTGTTTAGCCAGAGAAGATCAGTTAGGTCAAGTGCGAAAGATATTCGGATTTATTACGGAGGCACATGCGTGAATGTGGAAGAAGACGGGAAATGTCCGACATCAGAGTTGGCACAAAGTGTAAAGGCACTGCATGTACGCTTGCACACTTCTCACCTCTGTCTAGTCTGAATAAGCCCGAATGAGCAGTTTGTTCTCGAGCGGTCGCCTTTCTTAGATCTTGCGCTGCGTTTGCGAGCGTCTATTTTAAATACTTTTTCACGCTTGAGCGTAAAAAAGAGCTCAAAGGAGAGCTTTAATGGCTAATTACCCTAAAATCCCATAGATAAGAGCGGTTTAATTTACCGGTGAAAAATGAATTGAAATGAAATTGAAATTGAATGCAGTCACCCCTCTAACTTGATGGATAGATAAATAAAAATCGGAGAAGAAGTTTAGAAGAAGCTCCGCCCCTCAACTCCAAACCCCGCCCACTTAATAAACAATTCATATAGGAAAATAGCGATTTTAACGGAATTTCGGTCTTCTAAACTTCTTCTCCGATTTTTATTTATCCATCCATCAAGTTAGAGGGGTGACTGCATTCAATTTCAATTTCATTCCAATTCATTTTTCACCGTTAAATTAAACCGCTTTTATCTATGGGGTTCTAGATTAGGGTGGAAAAATGGTCGGAGAAACGTTTACGAAGGGGATGCAAAGACCAGGGCGAGGCGGCCGCGCGAGATTTGAGCCGCTCGAGTTGGGCTCACTCGTCATATGACAGAGAATTTGCATAGTACACAAACTGCGCGTAAAGAATATTGTTTGTAGGTCGGAATACCAAGCCGATACATCTCATCCAAATTTCAATCTGGTGACATTGCAATCGTCGAGATTAAAGGAACATTTTCCAAGCTAGACGGGATCTACGCTTGTTTGCCGTCTTCTAGAACCAAACTACATGCATCTTTGACATCTGCCGGTTATGGATTCGATCGTAAGCTCATTATTGCAAAAGCATGTTGACTATTATAATTTTGGTTTAAGTACTTCAAAGTCCTTACAAATGCGTACGACCATAGCTTGGATAGTCTAGAGACAGAGCGTCAAGAGTGATGGTTACTTGATTAGCTGCCTCTCATAAAAGTGAAGGTTGTTTCTGGGAAATCCTAGAAGAAAAAGAGATCCAAAAACAAATAGAAAAAGCAAAAAAAACTTCTAGCGGGATGAAAACGCTGCAGTGAGTTTGAAATTCTTTTATTTGGCAGCCTTTCTAAGTGCAGGTTTTCGCTCCGCGACCAGACAATCCACAACATGGGAAAAAACAAAAAATGCTAATTTTTTTCTGCGATTGCTTCAGAAATAGATATTTTTGGAAGTGGTAATCATTGGAAAGAAGATAAATAAGAATTAGCTATGAGAAACAAGAAAAGAATTAGCTATAAGAACGCAAAGCTTTTTTTTACCAAGTAGAAATATACGCCAAAACCAAATTTAGTTCTTGATGTCTCCTTAATTTTTACCCCCCCCCCCTCATTGACGTTTCTGTTTCCTGGAAAGTGCGCGGATTGTTGCGCTGAGTTACAATATTCCAAACAATAATTGCTTGAGTTGGAAAAGAACTTTCGCGAAAACACTAAAATCAAGGAAAATAAAAACGCGCTTTTTACGATTTTTCACAAAAATTCGCCGTAATCGAAGAAGTTGTGCGACGTTATCTACATGAACTTCAACAACTTTCGTGAACTTCTGGATCGTAGTCAAAAAGAGATCAAGTGAAATGTGATCCTGAATTCTAAAGAAATTTCCACAAACATTTTCTTTGTAACGTAAAAAAAGCTATTATTTTTGAGATAAATATCTATATTACTTGCTTCATTCACATTTTTCCGATACAGGCATAATCTTGGGTGCGTGGCGTTAGGTACCCAGCCGAGGTGTGGGCGTTAGGCACCCAGCTATTAGTGGTTTACACTAGACCACGCCCCTTAGTTGCTTTATAGCGGGTACCTAACGATACACCGAAACCTAACTGCTAAAATAGCTCACCTAGCTCGCTAAAGCACTGACGTTGCGAACCACAGAAAAATAATAATCCGGTGAAATAAAAAAAAATTGCTGAATGAAAGCGCAAGTTTGTACACAACGTTTTTTCTATTGATTTCTTTTTTTTATCAACTTTAGAATCACAGGAATTCGGGGATGAAAGTCAAAAATAGGGCAAAGCTTCCATGAGCACTTCACATAGATTTGCAAAAGGAAATTGTGATAATCCGATCTAACCGATAATGTCAGAGGGAATTTCAAAATGGAAATTTTGTAGAATTCCAATAACTGCTTCAAACATATTTTTGACAATGAGAAGCGGAACCGATTGGAAGAAGAGCTTCATCAGGAATCGGAAAGCTTATGAGACTTTATGGAAAACTACGTGACCTATCAATTTTATGGGAAGGGCACCAACTCTGTCCCAATCAGGGTAACCCTTTTGCGTTAATCTTGCCACAGGGATCGTGGACTACATTATCGTAGAGGTTATTACTTCGGTCATTGCTGAGGCCAACAGAGTTATGAGACATTACATTGATAAGCACACATTTATTTCTTTACTTCGGAAGAGTTCACATCCTTTTGAAATTTCATTGAGTTACTGTATTCTATTATGCTTATGTTCTCTGTAGTACTTTTTGGAGTACTTTTATTGCAATTATTTCATATTCATTCTCTTCTAGCAGCCAAAATGTGATCGATTATCCAACCAAGATTATGAATTTTTTTGTAACTCACCAAAAAGCGAAAGATTTTGTCAAAATTGCTCTAGGTAGAGCTTGTTGCTTTCCTTTTTAATCTATTGAACATTCATCCGAAATTGGCACTGCTCTATGATGCAAAATTTTTATTGATTGGAACAGAGCTAATGCCCTCCGCATAAATTAATGGGTCACATAGTCTCCATAAGGTTCCGGCTACTGATGACAATGTTTCATCGAAGCTCTTCTTCCAGTCGGTTCCGCTTCTCATTGTCAAAAATATGCTTGAAGCAGTTTTTTGAAATAAAAAATATTCCGTGCAACTTATTTGCCAGGGGCATCTCCTAAGGTACCATTTGCTTCATTAAAATTATAAAATTTTGGTTTATTGGAGTTCTACAAAATTTACCATTTTGAAGTTCCCACTGACATTATCGGTTAGATCGGATTATTACAATTTTTTTTGAAAATCTATGTGAAGTGCTTATGAAAGCTTTGCCCTATTTTTGACTTTCATCCCCGAGTTTCTGTGATCATAAAACACAAAAAAAGGAAGCAATAGAAAAAACTTTGTGTATAAACTTGCGCTTTCATTCGAGCAATTTTTTTATTTCGTCGAATTATCTTTTTTCTGTGGGTCGCAACGCCAGCGCTTTAGCGAGCTAGGTGAGCTGTTCTAGCAGCTAGGATTCGGTGTATCGTTAGGTACCCGCCATAAAGCCACCAAGGGGCGTGGCTTAGTGTATACCACTAATGGCTAGGTACCTAACGCCCGCACCTCAGCTGGGTGCCTAACGCCTGCCCCCCCCCCCCCCATAATCTTAGCATCCGGGGCTTCACTTCGGATCACTTTTGTTATTCAGGTGAAAGTTGTTTGTTATGCCGCTCAAAGTGAAGGTTACCAGGATACATGGCTGTATGTATCAGGGTATGCGTACAACTGAACAAGGCTATGTATATTAGGTTGTCTGGAAAATGATATAAGGTTTTATAAGTTTGTTTTGAAGTCAACATTTTCGTGTAAGTACTTCCTCTTGCGATCAACTTCGTCTGCCTTTTGAGAGCGCTAATCATATTTTCTCTAATACGTTTTGCTCACTTATCTTGGCTTTAGCTTTGTCTTATCAATTCATTTAAGCAAGCACAGAAGAAACCTTTGATACAAAATTTTCCCTTTCTCCACTATTTTGACATGAGCTTGTTCGACAAGAGATTATTTCGTGTATTACAGATAACCATGTAATGGATGAACCTACAAAATGCATAGAAGAATTTTGAATGAATAGGAATATTCGTGTAAGAGTTCTTATAACAATTACGTAGCAAGATAGGTAGCAGAAATATGAAGGTCAAACATGACTTTTGTCGCGACCATTCAATGGGCTACAGATTTTTCTGAAGCAGTTGTAGAAAATTCTCTATGTGCAGTAAGAGCAAAGCTAGTAGCTACTGTCGGTAGCCACTTGAATTGCACCCAGTTTTTACTACTTTTATTAAATTGTTTCAAAAGTTCTGTCGCTCTGATTTTGGAAAATTTGTAACTGCTCCCTATGTGATAATATTTATTTGCAAAAACTTCTCAAGATGGAAAAAATGCATCTATTTTTCAATGGCATCTTTGCGCCTCTTTGACAACAAGTGACTCCAGAGATAAATATCAAAGAAGGAATGCTACTTGTTGCGGCTCGGTGGGCTCTGCGCCCCCTCACCTAGTGCTCGACTGCCATGCGCCCAGCTCCTGTCCCCGAAGGATTTCCGCCACTGCGGGTGCGCGCCAACTCACAATGGCGCGTTACGCCTACACTGTACACAAAACAATAAAAATATATAAATTTACTAAATAAATATACACGATAAATACACGATACAACTAAATATAAATATACTTACCACGGGGAGAGTTAAGCTCTACCCCGGGCTACCGATGGGGACTCTGTCTTACTCACACTCACACACTAGCGCACTCACACACTCTCCCGGAATCCAAGGGAGCTACCCACAGGCCGGCCGCGCGCCGCCAAGGCAGCAGCTACGGCACGGCAACACCGACCCCATGATGTTAACCAACAGCATCGAACAAAGCTCCCAACAAATCCTGCACGACCAAGGCGCTTCGTGATGTTCATCATCCTGGAAATCCATCCTCGCGCATACATCCAAACAATCCATCAACGATCCATCCAATCGCGCGAGGCACGGGGACGTAGACACGGCGGCGATATCGTGGAAACCCAACCAATCAATAATAAAGGCGGCACGACGATGATAGTAAGATGATAAGACGAGAGAGGCCGCAATGGCGCGCGTACGCGCTATTTATAGCGGTGGCTGGGGGCGTGCCTACATGGTGTGGTCTCGGAGCGAACAAGGTAGCCGCCGTAAAGCGCGGCGACCGTGCCCACGACCGAGACGCGCGGCAACCGGTGCTCCCGGCCACATGCTGTGAGGAGCGGTCGATCGCGAGCCGCGACACTACTCAAAGTCCCGATTTTCGGGAGTAAATCGTCAAAAATCTGGCTGCAGAAAAATCTGAAAGCATGTTTCATAACTTGTGAGTTGATTTTTCTGATAGTGCCAACTTTGTGCTAACAGAGCTTTTCTATGAAAAGTTATGATTTTTGTGAAAAATGCCGAAAAACGCAAAATACGTCAGTTTAGCCGTTTTTTTTGCATTTTTCGCAAAAATCATGACTTTTAATAGAAGTAATCAATCAAAAGTCACAAACTTGGCACTGTTAGAAAGAGCAGTTCACAAAGCTTATAAGAAACATGCTCGCAAATTTTCCGTAGCGTTTTAGATTTTTGAAGTCGAAACGACAAAACTTTCGGAAAAACTTGCATTTTCGATCCTTGGTCATGGCGCAAGGGTGGCAATGTCTCGTTTTGGAAAAAAAACCAAAGTAGTTAACTAATTGCATGTGCATAAACACTACTTAAACCTTAACAATTTGCTACACGGACGAATTGGAAAAACACCTTGCATGTAATGACTCAAAAACTCCTTTTATTTGTGTGAGCAAACTTCTCATTTGCAGCGCTTTGTCATATGAACGGACGAGATAGGAGGAGCATAGCACAAAGTATTAGGTCGTCCCGAAAGTTCTTGCGCACGATTTTCAAAAATTCATAACTTCTGATTTTTCCAACCGATTTGACTGCATTTATTTTTATATGAAAGAGCAAGTCATGTTCTTTATAAAGGCATCTTAACTGCTTGCTAATGATCATCTGTTGCATGAATAGAAGC